CTATAGACAGTCTGAAAATGTGATGTTCCTGGTGTAATACATTCAGCATGCTTGAAAGCTGTGATTTTATTGCTTGGAGCAGGGTAGTAGAAACTTTTTGATAAATGCTCCAATGTGCAGATGGTACTTAAAGGAGCAGTCCTATGATACCGTTTGTATTGAGAGCAACACCATTACAGGGTCAAGTGTTTAATATTTGCCCAAATTTTGATCCAAATCTGCTGTGATCGTGTCTGTCTTGGAAAGCCTGACTTCTTGTATCTGAATGAGAGAGTCTTAGCTGACTGCTTTCAAATACAGATTAAAATTTTCTGGCTGAGATATACTCACCAGGAAGTGTGGAATTGATTGATGCATTACTTAAGAGGAACAGTGTTCCCAAAGTCTTCACCAAAGCCATCACATAGTCATTAAATAAGTTAATTGCTACATATTTATCCTTTCATATATAATATTTGCTGTGAAAGTAGCAATAGGAAGTTCAATTTAAACACTAGATGCAGCCAGTAAAAACACAGTAACTGAACTTTCTTGGGAAGTACATCTTGAGGAAAGGCCATCTGAGGCAGAAAGGAAAAAGCTTAAAGTCTTATAGCATCCTTTTAATCCTCTACCTCAGATAAGCATAACTGTTTCCCCCAAGTAGTGTTGCTGTCTAAATGAAAACAGAAGCATTGCAGAGGACACTGATCCATTGGTGGTATGGGGAGATAGATATGTCTCAGAAGTAATGTCAACACAAGCATTTGATAAATTTAAGAAAGTATAATCATCTTATAAATGACAAAGGTTCATTTCTATTTAAAATCAACCTGTATAATGAACTACCTTTATATGTTTCAAAAAAATCTCTTTCAATTGTAGGTGGTTTACAGGTTACTGAGAATGATTTGCTTATCTCCTCACCATGTTATCTTATGTCTTAAGAGCATGTTTGTAATTTAGGTTATTTAGTAGACTACAAATTACTTATTCAGATGTCTGTTATTAAACTTTTATTTACACTTTATGATAACATTTATAAAGAAAATAAAGCCCCTGTGTAAAGTCCAAGGTGACAGTTTCTGCTGTAGAAAGTCTGTGGCATTAATTCATAAGAGCACCCAGGGAGAGAGGGGCGGGGGGAATGCAGTGCATGAAATATTGTTCTTTTTGGATCACTGATATTTCTTTCAACTTTTTAAGAAACATTAAATTTTTTTATCTTTCTTAATTTCTTGGATTTAAGTTACTGATATTTGAAAAGAAATGAAGGTCATGTTAGGGAGGAAGTTTATGCAGCTATTTCAAATAGTCATTCCTCTCATGTGCCTCCATCAGTTCACATGCCAGAAAGAATGCTTTCATGTGTTTTGAAAATATTAGCTTCATACAGTATATTTTGGCAGGGAAAGATACCAGATAGTGTTGGAACACTTCAGAAACATGGTGAATAAGTTCACGTTCTTGTCTGATGGGCAGACTCCTCTGAAGGCACAATCATGTACTGAGGAACAGAACTATAAAAAGTGAAAGCTTTAATTAGGAAGACCACAGTGCTAGTAAGATGAGTACTTCTAAATCTAGTCTTAATCAAAATTTACTGTTTCTACTTTCAGTGACATAATGTGGGAAGGCAGAAAGAAAAACTAGTAATGTCTTTAATCAGATCAAATCCTATTACCCTGTGAGTTCAAACTTCACTCTTCTTTGCAGCTGGGAGATAGGTGTATGTGCAAAGCTTTTGGAGGATGATAATTAGAGTTCAGTGGCAACTCTCAGCTTATGGCAATGTATATGCATCTGGGTTCCCGACTTGCAGTTATTTCCCACAGTAGTGTGGTACCAATAGTAGTACATGCCATGCTCGCTGGATTTTCCCTGGCTGGATGTTCAGATGCAATATTTTGAGCTGTATTTGCAGCCTTTCTCACTGAAGCCATGTAGACAACTGCAGACAGTTCTGTGACAATGTAAAAAAAAAAAAAAATCTGTTGATGTTGTGGTGTATTATCTTGTCTGCTCTGTGCTTTTTGCCTATCACTTGCTAACAGTCACAGATTCTGCAGTGCTTCCTTTGCAGAGGCCCTGTAAGAAGCAAGACATTCCTCACTATAAGGTTATAAAGGAACCTCTTGTCATATGCAGTGAAGAAAATTTATTTCCAGCTATATCTTGGTTACTAAAGCAGTTCTAAAATACAGTGGGACGCAGGCCTTAATGCTCAAACCCTAAATACAAAGTATTTGTTTACATCTTTTCAGATTGCATGGAATGGTAGTTTTGTTGTGACTAGAACATCTGAAAACTTGAAGCATAGTTTACAGTTTATCAGAAGTGTAAAATTATCAGTAGACAGGGAGTTGAACGTCTCTGCTGACACATGGGACACTGTACTTAGCAAATAACATGCTGCTTCCTGTCAGTCTGAGCACTTGTTGCTGTTTTTCATTTCTGCCAGCTATGAGCGGCATTGGTGTCCAAGACAGAGCACTATCCATTAGTGCCAGGTGGAGAGCACTGTGAGGTGACAGATATGTACATATGAAGTAGAGATGTCTGGTAGGAGTATTTCCCTAGGAATATATACTGGGTTTGTAGCTCATGGTATGCACAGCTGAGTGCTATTTTTGACAAAGAGAAATATCTTTGTGTCTGTTTTACTATGCACCACATCTTTATGGTCTGTGATTATAGAGTGAAGTAGTTGGACTCTCCTAGTGATATCTCTGTGTGTATTACACAACTGCTGCATCAGAGGTTATCTAAAAGCATGGCATTTACTTTTCTCATGAAAACTGGCATCCACATATGGTCTAACTTTATTGTTAGCTGTTTTGATTGCAAGACTGTGAGGATTTTTTTACTTGATCCTTTGAATCCTGTGCTGACTGACCCAAATTAATGGGGGAAGAGATGACTGAACTTATTTTTAGTCTTCCTTAGGCAAGTACCCAAAACAAACACGACAGCCAAATGTCCTGACCAATCCACTGTGGCCTCTTATTCTGCCTCAGCAAGCCCTCTGGTTACAGATCGTGTTCTAGTTATTCCCTGGTTAAATCCATCCTGAAACACAGAGGAAGAGACATAGCTGTGTTTGTCACATAAGTGGACAGAAATTAATTCCTTGAATATATAAAATAACCTTCAGTGTGAAGCAATTCTGGCTATGGAAGGAGTTTAAAACTTTGCTACTATGAACTCTTACCTGTTAAACAGATTATTTCAGGACCTGTACTTGATCAAGTAATCATGTAGTACATCTCATACTGCCTTAGTATCTGCTATACTGTCAAAGGTAATTAGAATGAATGTAAATGTAAAAAGAAGTCCCATGTACTAAGCTTGGATGGGGAGCTGGTAATTTAGTTGTTTCTGTAAAGTTAGTTATTCAGACGTCGTGCTTGCACTGGGTTCTGGAATAGTATCACAAATCATTTTAAAGGATCAAAAAGATAATTATCAGTGTTTTACATAGCCCATTTTGAAGCACTCTGATTTTACAACTGATACTAATTTGTCAATTATAAAGCAACAATCTGGAAGACTGGGATGGTGGGGCAGTCTTTCTCACAGCTATCGGAAATAAGGTAAAAGTATTGGAGTTTCTTTTGGCTTAATCCATTTTGGTAGTTTGCTTTTTAATTTATTGGAGTCATCATTTAAAAGGCAAGTTTAAGTTTAAACACAAAATATTGTTCCTTTGGTGTTGGATTTTGATACATAATTTTACTGTTTTTTGATTGGTTTTTACTATTATTTTTTTGATACACAAAGTATTGTTCCTTCATCAGTGTAGCAAGTTCATGAAAAATTGCTACACAGAAACTGACAACTCCTGTGTTTGGTTTATAGAATGAATTAACTGGTGAGAGAGGCTTGGGGGGGG